TAAAGCTCTAATTTAGTTCCATCATTCTGGATAATATTAAAAGTAAGCACAGAGCAAGTTAGGAAACAGTGCAGATTCACAAGAGAGAGCTCCCAAGAGCTGCTGCAGTGAACTGGCTCAGCACTACAGGCTGTTTATAAAACAGAGACTTATGCAACATATAACCATTTGGATATTGAGTTCAAACAACTCAAAATCAGAGACATCTCAATTACTTCCAGGTACTCCTGTCTATTGAATATTAGGAGCTTATTTGAGAATGCTGCTCTTGGTCTAGATGCGTATTTTGCTTCTCCCCAAAGATGTAGGGCATAGTGATTAACATGTCTTGCTTTTTGTAAGGAAAAATGTTTGTCCCAGAGACATTCTGGTGGTCCAGCAGCAAGGGCTGATATTTTAAGTGGATCATTCTTCTTTGGTGGATAGAGAACTGCAGTGCAGCAAGGACAGGGAAAAGACTAGTGACTCCCCTGCATACTGGAGAGAAGGCAAACTGGGTCAGAAAGAACAACGTCAGAGGAACAGATGAATAAAATGAGGAAGGGAAGAGAAAGACACAAAATCAAATGTGAAAGGAGAAGAAACACAGACTCATGAAGGGAGGAACTCTGACCACGTCCCACAGGGACCTCCAGCAGCACTTGCACTTGCGCAGGATCAAGCTTGATGGACAAACACCAGCATCAGCCCCAGGCAAAGGGAGAGAACCCTGCGCATTCTCATCATCATAGGGTCCTTGCTATCACTTCTCCTTCAGACAGAGGCAAACACCCATCAGAGCAAAACCTGCCCCTGTTTTACGGATTGAATATTTCTGGCCCTTCCCTTGAACTTTTCATCTCACCATCACATGGAGCATTTCCCTTCAATAGAGAAAAAGCTGGGAGAGGGGTGGCTGGTATTGCTTCCTGTGGCAGAGTTGCCTTTGGAGTAAGAGAAAAAGCAAACTCATAGTACATGCATAATTTTACTTCCCTTGAACTTGTCTTTCTGTATTCTCGGAACTCTATTTTTTCCCCCTCTTTTTTCTTCCTAGTGACAGCATGAACGAATAGTTATTCACATCTTTCTTTTAGCTGAGTATCTTAGGAAACTGTGACTGAAAGGCACGGTGGTATAAATACTGTGCACACGGTATATTCTCCCCTTGCAGTTCAAAAACTCATAGGAAAAAAAAATAAAAGCAAGAACAAACACCTCCCCGCTGGCAGTGCCGGGGTGGAGAGCGCGTCCGGGGCCGGGAGGGAGTTCCGTGGGGCAGGGTGACCTCTGCTGGGGCACCTTGTACTGGTATTCCAGAGAAAATCCCTGTGCAGGAGCAGCAGGCAAGTTGCACTGAACCCTCTGCTCAGAGGAGCTTGACTACGTGTTACATCATCATGCACCGACCATTTCTTCATCATGTGAGCAGGAGGCTCCAAAAGGCCTCCCCACACACAGTACCTGAGGTAAGGGTTGGATGACTCTCACAAGGCATCTGTGGTTTAGAGCAGAGACTGAAAAGTCATCTTCAAGCAGCAAGGGCAGGAATCCTCTGGTCTGCATGTAAGCTGAGCACTGGTGATGCTGATACTTGTCACACTCAAATGTCTGTAGCTCTTTCAGTTAGAGTTCAGTTTCAGAAAGGGGCTGCCCTCCGGCAAAGCTCAAGGGAGCAAATTCAGGCAAACCACTCCTATGGAAACAGGTCCATGATGGTTGTGTCTGAGGAGGGCAAGTCCTGGCTGGTCTGACCTACTGAGATGCTTCTGCCTCCCCATATCTCAATCCTAGCATGGGAGAAAAGGCATCTTTGCTCAAGTCACCCTTGCCTAGACTTGTGTGTCTCTCTCCATTCATGACTAGCAGTGAGCCATCAGCACTGACAGGGAGATTAGTGCTTTCTTGCTCAGTTGCTATGGTGCTGTGGGCTCCTACTGCCTACCTGTTGGCTTTTTGACCCGTCAAGTGACAGGGATTAGTGCAAACGTGGTGTGACATAAGTCCATGGTGCTTAGTCATGGGTGCTGTTGAACTGTGCCCTAAGGTCTTTGGTAAGAGACCTATCAGTCAAACAGTAGAAAATTTAATACCTGAAGGAATTTTAAAAGCAGGCACCTGGCACCTATTTGCTGTCCTGCTTTTTTTGTGCAAGCAGTTAGCCATGGCTAGGAGCCCTGCAGTTGTCAGCTATATCTCAGTGTAATTTTATACCCAGGAATATACACAATGTGCCGTTCCTTTGAACTCAGTTGAAACAGCAAGCTGTTTCTTTGCTCAGAAATGTAGCTTTGTTCTCCCTGCTTAGCTATTCTCTTAAGCATCAAGAGACAACTACAACATCCACTGAAGGTAATGGAAAGACGTGGTTGGTTTTCAGTGGGAGTTAGATCAGTGTTCAGTTAAATACACAATTCAGTAAGGCAGGCTTTAACTGCTTTTCTTATTAATAACACAAAAATTAGTTTACTCAACAGAGAGATTTGGTCTTTATTTTTAAATGATTTCCAAATTCAGAAAATATTTAAGCTGTGTGCCCAGCCAAGAGTTTGTATCTTCTATTGTAGGAAAAGGCTCAGAAACTTACTGTGCCAAAAAGTACAAAATAGTGGGTTTCAGCAGATCCTCCTAACAGAGGCAATAATTAAAGTTGTTATGAATATTGTATAATGAGAAATCCATGCTTTTTTTTCTGAGATTGCCTTCTGCTGCTTGAACACAGTTTCAGCCTCTTCCAACGAACATCCTAGAAAGACTCAGAATGTTCCTCCCACTGGTCTAATGGTGTCAGGCAGGCAACAAAACAATGAAGTATACACCAGGCTACCTACCTTTCATACCCACCCTGCCAAAAGTTACTACCTGCTCTGGGCTTAAGCTCTTGGATGTGCACAGGAGGAAGAATTGTGTGTTTCACTTCTGAAACAAGTCTATGCTCTCCCCAAGTAAAGCTGACAAGCTAAGAAGTTTGTCTTCTTAGTGACTTAGCCTACCAGTTGAACTACACTGTGCCACAGTTTCATCTCAAATCTTAGGTTCCAGGAAGTTTTTCTGAGGTAGACTGCTATTAGTCTTACACTTGCAAAGGAGCTCTTGTTTCTTGTTGCTTTTTTCAGAGTATCTTTGCTGCCTAGTTGATTTGAGAGACTAACGATCACACGTGACACACAGATGAGCCAGGCAGAACCGCATGAATGGTCCTGTTACAGAAAGGCACCTTTCCTGATGCTGGGCATCTCTCTCTGTATCACAGGGTTTATTGGGCTTTGAGCTGCAGGGAGCTGAGATTCTCACCCAAAAAAACAGTGGAAGAAATGACACTGGCTGCAGACAGACCATCGTTTGTCCTTCTGAAACTATGGGAAGGTGCTGTGAGACTATTAGCACTTGAGTAACTTCACTGCAGGGGGACGCAAATTACGCTAACTTGGTGGAACAGTCTGTATGGAGATATGTATAGATGCATACATACACCAGTTTTTATTCCACACCTGGCCAGGTAGCCTTAGCTGTAAGTACCTAAGAAACAAAATTCAGGGAATAGCTTGGGTTAGCTGTGTGGTGAGAATGTACCCGCAGATCTCCTACTTCTCCTATTTGTCAGTTTGTTGGATAATTTTGAACCGAGTAAAGTTTCTCTGTTTCCTAAGATTTTTTTCTCTTTTTTCTATTTCTCCATTGTTCTTTCCCAGCAACAACAGGGTGATTTTTACGTTTCCTTCTCTATTGCTAATAGAATTTTTTCACAAAACCTGCCAATTGCTGCAGGCCTGGAGGTAGGCCTGAAAAAATAGGCTCTTTCTGATGGGCTGCCTTTCTCAGCTTCTCAGGTGGGATCTCAGCTGCTCAGGAAATGACGAGCTCTTACTCCTCCCCTTAGTGATTTAGTGCAAGTCTGTCAAGAGAAGAGACAGCAGGAAAGCTTTTTTTATTCCTAAGAGTGATAGTAGAACTGCCATGAGACTGTAAAAACAGGGGCTACCTTTTCATCTATTCTGCAGTGCCTGGTCTATGATTTGAGAGAAGAGCAGTCCTGTGCTGCAGCTGAAATTCCTCTGCTTGGAAAGTGGAAAGGAAGAATGTGTCATCTGTGGCTGAAGGTAAGAAAGTAAAATGCCTGGGTAGGAGCAGAGGTGAGCACGGTGTGGGATTGGTGAGAGAGGGAGGTGGGCAGAGCCAGTGACTCAAATGGAAGGGGGGATGAAAGTGTTTAGAGATGGATCAGAAGGTGGTGGCAGGGCTGATAGCAGGGAGACTGTGAATGGCACAATTGCTTTACTTGTTTTTTGGAAGAGCTGGCTGTAGTAAATGTTTTGTGCCCAACGGAGGTAGGGCTTGGAGGACTCCAAAATCAAGAAACTTACTGACCAAACACATAACTCTGTAATAGAAACAGTCATCTCCTTCCAACTGACACACACGTTGTATATCTCCATTGTTTTCTCCACTGTAATTTTGGTACTTGTTCTGTCTTTCCCTCTTATGCTCAATGCTTGTCAAAGAGATGTACTTGGGGCCTCTTGTCACCTTACTGTCTGAAGGTATCACCTCTTTGCCAGTCTCTCTGTGCAATAAGTTAAATTCTTAGGGTCCCACCATGTTCTTCTACTGCCCCAAATCCCTGCTGGTCACAGCTTTTTCCCTTCATGCTCCTGCTTTTGTGTCTTCCTGTGTGTATACAAGGTCTTTCCAACCTTCTGCTCCCTAGGGAAAGGGAATCTTTTCCTGGAGCCATTAAAGAAGTCAGCTAGATTTAATAATATAATAAATTAAATTTGATAGAATCATGGTAATATGTATGTGCTTGAACATAGTGACTGGCTTGTTACTAATTTGCCTCTTCCTGGTTCTTCTCATTTTTTACTTCCAATTAGTGTGTAACAATTAAGATTAGATACCATTTTCCCAGATGAGATAAGTAGCACCAAGACTCAGCTGTGACCCATGATAAACCACTTACTTATGCTGTCAAAAAAGACAGTTGTGGGGTACAGAGGGGTTGTTCATTTTTGCAAGGGAGCTTAGATCCATATTGATTCATTGACACAGCTTTAAGTTACCAGACTCAATGACAGAGTCCTCAGTATAATTGTTTGTGGCTTCTACTGCACTTACTTCCTTCAGCAGTAGCCCTGGCTCACCATCTAAAGGTGAGAGCTGAGGGTGCTTGTATCTCCTTGACTTTCAAAACTTGGACAGTCCTTTTCAGTCTGTTTCCTTGTGGTTTGGTGAGCAGTTGCTGGGGGAAAAAAATTATCTAATGTGTTGTGGCATTTTGTTCAGTTCTTTTTCCTTAACCTAGAGCAAAACCAGCAATGCTCTCTAATGAGGGATGAAGTAGATATGTGTCAAGAACATGCAGCAGTTCTTTCTTTCTATCCAAATGTGATCAGAAGGTTATTCCAGTTAGCACAGAATTCAGTTAATTTATTCTGGTGTCTGTGGAAGATGCATCTTTTGCTATAGGAACTAAAAAAGACTGGTCCAGAAGTTTCCTCTCTTGTGAATATTTTTAGAGTAATCTTCCAGGATTTCAGCAAAAATAAACCTGGACTTGCAACATCTATGAGATGAATATAGGACCCACTGTACTGCAGTTAATCAGGTTTTGGTAGCAGGTTGTACATAAACTGTCTGTGTTACCTTGATTTATAAAAAAATAGAGGGTTTCAAGTGATAAAGCAAACACTGGAAAAAATACACAGAATTAGATGACCTGTTTCTTTGCTGCAACAGAAGTCTTCATGTCCTTCACTGTAAAATCACCTACCTCCTTGTTTCCAGCCTAGCTGGGGGTTTCCTCAGTGTCTTTTCCAGGGCATGTCCCTGTAGAGACATTAAAAGCTTTCAGCAGAGTATATTTTGTTGTTGGGGTGATACTTTGCTGCTTGTCTTCTGCTTTTTTTTTCATGCATGGAGCCGATGGACTCCTATACCCCTGAAAGCCTAGAAATAATGATGTGCTAATAACCTTATTGCTCACTCAGGAGGGAGTGTTGTCTGCAGTGAGAATTCCCCCTTGCTGCTGAATGATGTGTCTGCGAAACTTGCAATGTTGCTGTACACCCAGCAGATGTGGGGATTTGGTAATGAGGTCCTAAGGATTTAGGGAAGTTACTTTTTTACTGCTGAAGAGATTTAAGAATGATTTTGTTAGAGCTTGGTAATCATAATACTGCTGGCCTCTGCTGCATTCAAATGAGCAGCCCAATCCTAGAGCTCTGCTGCTGAGGGTAGCACTTAGTCCTGGAAAGAAGCAGTGATTATGTGATTAGCCAGGAGGCTGAATTCTACTATTTTCTGTGTGCGGTTTAGCAGTGTTAAACCCTCACCAAGGACCTAGAGTTGAAATAATCACTATCCTGTTACAAGTTTCCTGAGTTATCTGCTCCTCAGACTTTTATTGCCATAAATAACTCTGGAAGTCAGGCCTCTATGCCAGAAGTGTTAAGTGCTGCAAATAGTATAGAAGATGACTCATGTAGTGAGATGAAGGTGGAGCATGAATCAGTGGGAAGAAAACTGATATACAACGGAGACATCCTGAATGCAGATGACACAAAAAATCTGAACAAAGCAATCTTCAATCATCATAAAAATGAATCAAAAGGTTGCTTTTTTTTCAAAAGAAAAAACCTCAAACTTCTGTTTAATGAGAAAGGCCGTTGTAGTGAAAGCCCAAAGCGAGAAGGTATTGCATGCTGACCATGTTATTCTTTACCCAAGATAAACTGTGGACTGCTTGGGAAGAGGGGGATGGAAAATTCTTCCCAAAATGCCCAAACAAAGCAGAGTATTCAGCAAGCAGGTTGCTTTCCAGATTGTTCTGGGTCTACATAAGCTAAGAAAAGAACTTATCTTTGAGCTAAACAGTTTTTGGAGATCAATAGTCCTCATAGCATCAGTGAACCCACAGTGAAAGCTAACAGCAGTGGAAACACTAAAATAACCTATCCATGCTCCTTGTAAATGATAAGTCATGATAAGGAGATAAAATTCCCAGAGACCGTTCCATTTGAAAAGACAGCTTTTGGTCCTTTTGCTTACCCTCTGGCTCACACAAACAGAGTCTGCCTTTAAAGGTAGACTTGGGAAAAAAAGTACCAGATAGATGACATCCTACAGCTGTTGGTGCACTAATGAACTAAAGTGTTCGGTTCTGCCTATAATTCCAGTCCTGCCACTTCTTGGGAGAAGGAATGTTTAAGAGCTTAATGTAACTCTTCAGGGGTGAGAATGAAACATTTTCACATTTGGCATCAGCTATGATTCTTTGGATATTAGGAAAGGGTTCCTCGTTGAGGGGGTGGTCAGGCACTGGAACAGGTACCCCAGGGAAGTGGGCACGGCACTAAGCCTGTCAGAGTTCAAGAAGCATCTGAATGACACTTAGTCATATGGTTTCGTTTTAGGTAGTCCTGTGAGGAGCAAGTGCTGAAATGTAATAATGCAGAGAAGCCTAGATACCTATGTCTTAGGTGAAAGCTCTGTCTCTGCTAGCATTTTTATTAAAGCCACTGTTAAAATTGTCGAGGCTGGTTTATCCCATGGTGTGTGTGTCTCTTCCTTGGCTTTGTTATGCTAGACCCTCAAAATGTTGCTCTCAAAAATGTTACGCTTGCTTAGAAACAAGTGTAACAAGGCATCCTAACCTGTACTGCTTAGAGTTCCTTTGTTCGCAAGAAAGTAAGGGATGGTCAAAAGACTCAAGACTTCTAGCACAGCTGTTTCACAGGTAATGCTGTCAAGGCTTAAGGGATGCAGATACAGGGAGCAGAATTATGGACATGAAACTCTAGCAAGGTTATCTTTATCTCCAGTATGATTGTAAAAATAATCTAAAACCTGGTTGTACTTGTCTTTTATAGTGTTATAAGGGCTATGAGTTCATGTCTTCATTGAAACTAGTGCTAGATTGAAACTTGGCATAAAGATATTCATGCTTATTCATGGTCAATTGCAGTATTTCAGATGTGAATTTACCTGTGTGTTAATGCACAAAATCCAGAGCTGCACATTGTAACTCGCAATATGTCTTTTCTACTGCATCTGTGTTCAGTGCATTTAGTCCATTTATTCATAGATAATCTGCTGGATTTGAGCTTTAATGGAATAAGTTGTTCTTATGGGAGGTAGCACAGGCTGAGTTTTCTATTGCTGCTAAGGGAGAGCTAATAGTTAACAGCTAGTGACAGATTTATGTTTTCACGTGTAGGCTACCCAGCAGTGGGCCCAGCTCAAATGTAAAAGATCACTTGGAAAAGTTGGCTTTGTTAGCAAAAAGTATGAAGTTCATTTTTAAAAGCTGTACTGATTTTAAGACCAAAAAAAAGTGCCTTTCTCCTGTTCAGAGGATAGAAATTCTCTAAGGAGAAACAGCACAGGCTGAGTTTCTGTCAATAAAAGAATCTGTGTAATTTAATACCAGACAGCTTTTTAATACAATAGGCAAGTGTCTGCTCTTTTTTTTTCCTATCTTATGAAGGGGAAAAATACAAAAACCTGCCTGCAGTATGTTACCTAAATTTATCCACAGAGGGAATAATCCTCTTGGATACTCAAAAATCTGTCTGAAGGAAGTAAGTGAAAGCTATAGGGAAGCTGGAGACCCTCCATCCCTATTTTCTAAAGTGCTGACAATAGGAAATGTGTTAGGCAGCACCAGTGACCATACTGTAAGGTGACACTTGCTTGTTTAGTCCTTCTTATCACAAAATATGAAAGTTTCTGTTTGATTTTTCAATAATATGAGTGACTGAGGTTAGAGATGTGGGAATGGCTTGCCTCAGATGAAAAACCTATTCAGAATCATCCTTGGTTTGAGTTTGAATTGTTCCTGTGTTCAGGCAGTGGTGGGATCATGCTTTGGACAACACGTATTCATAAATATGTTAAACTTCCTACAGATGTCCTGCAAACCTTCTCCCTCCTGCAATCTGTACTCGAAACCCTATCTGGAAGAAGCATCTGATTCTTAGCAAAAAAGAATAAAATTGAGTTCAGAAGCCAAAATAAATCTCGGGTTATTATTCAAAATGAAAAGAAAATGGACACTAGCTTCTTAGTCAAATATCAGGTTTATAATTTTTTTTAAATCAATTTTTTAACAGTTCTTTAGTCTGAGATCAAATATGAATTGTAGATTTCTCAGAAGTGTGACTTCTGACATCTTAATTTAAGTGTAATTATAAGCCCTGACAGCAGTATTTCTTCTAGTTTCATGGACCTGAGAACCAAGTTTGTGGTATGTAACTGCTGGTGAGTTTTTCAAAGAGCAAGTTCTTAGTACTGTTATCTCCTTTGTTGCCATTTGAAACAAGCCCAGAAGCTGTAAACAACTGGAAACTACTGCCAGCATCTGTTGTATTAACACCCTTACAATGCAGTTCTCCGTTGTTTAACAACTTGCTTCCTGTGCGTAGAAACTGAATCTCAGGGTTCTCACAGCATGGTCAGAGCTGTAGCAGGGTCCTGTTTCATATAATAACACTTACCTTGTTCTCGTATGCTTCTCCAATTCTGGCAGTGGTACTTTGGCTCTTAATTATTCCCTGCATCCTCAGCTGTTCAAAAATGTTTGATGATTTTTGCCTCTCTGTTTCCTCTACGGGTGATTTACTGATGAACTTGCTGGTGAACAGTGTGCCTTCAAAAGATGAAAATGTTAAAACTTTACACTTGTAGAGCACTCGGCATTCAAACAAAGCTTCATGGTGTATTTCCAATGCCAGAGCTTTTATTTAAGAGGTTGCATGCTGAGACTGTCCAGTGGAAAAGCCCTGCTGGAGGCTCTATTCCCTGCTTAAACTTTGCAGTAAGCTTTTTAGTTGCTTGGAAAATGGTGCAGGCACCTAGTCCAGTTTTCTCACTGTAGTCAGTTATGCGCAGAGGGAACATTCAGGAAAGCATGGAAGCATACGCTGAAGACGTTTCAAGCCCATTTTTGAGCAAGTTCCAAAAGAAGGTCCTTAGGGAACTCTTGATAATTTGAGTTCTTAAGGGTTCTGTGATCTGGTTGAAGAAATCCAGGCTGGGATGGGATAGCACAAGCCTACTAATGAACCATATTGTAAAGATCACCATGTTCTTCTGTTAAACAAACCCAAACTTTCATGTGCTTTTGTGGTCTATGATTTTTGTTGTAACAGCGTTGATACATTTGTGTCGGATCATAAGCATTCCAAAAATTATATGTTTATAATCAGCAATTAGAACTAAAACCCAAATTATTTTGATAACCCTTCTTAGTGGCTGTTTAGTTTCCACATATTAGACATGAATAAACAACGAGCAACTTTATTGCCAAGAGCCATCAGGTTTTTCAGCCCTCAGCTGACAGTTCTACCATCTGCTCAACCTCTATTGGCAGAAGTGAGAGCTTTTGTATGAAAAATGCTTGGACCAAATCAAAATTGCAGTTATTTGACATCTTCCAGTCTTTATAAGCAGAGTGATTATGACAACATCGTCTTATTTTTCAGTTGTAAAACAAAAATACAGAACATCTACTACCTTGTAGAAGCTGACTCCGTACCTCTCCTAAAATAACCAAACCAAAAAGCACTGGGGTTCGGCTGTCAGTCAGAACATGTAAATGTCAGAAGCCAGTATACAGCAAAACACATCTTGGCAAAAAATAAAAGCAGGATGAGTGGGCAACACTGACAAGTGATATCAATTTGTATTGGTTCTACTAATCCATTCAGGAGAAAAATGTAGTTGAAGTATCTTGGTATGGTATGGGTTGGTTTTTATTTTGGTCTGGAAAAGAAGATTGAAGCATGATTTCAAAGCTTTCTGTTTAGAAATTTCCTGTGAAGTTATCTTTTAGCAAGTGGGAGGAAGAGGGGCTTAAAATTAGATGAAACCATTTCAGAGCAAGCAAATATTTTGTTCAATATGAAATGAAATCCTTTCATCAAATCCTTCTGTCGCATTGGGAGTTAAGTCCTCTTTAATGAATAGCAAACACCACTAATTATTCCTTTTGTGTTCAATCCAAAATATTTTATTACAACTTGTTTATTATAAAGAGTAAACAACAACTGTAGATTCTCCATTTAGCGTGTTTGTGAAATGTAAGCTTCATAGCACTTGAAAAATAGAAGAGTTAAACTGCAAAATTAGGGTGGTTAAATGCACCAAAAAATAGTGCTGATTTTCCATTAGTAACTCTTATTGCAATGGTACCCTAAGATTATAGAAAAGTTTGGGTTTAAGTGTTCACTTGCACTTAAAAGAAAAAAAAGTTTTAGCACACCTTTGCTTATTGTCATGATGATTTCTGGAATTTTTATAGTTTTTTCCACATCGTAACTGGCCCTGCAACTTTTAGTTGCAAACTTTAAGAAATAACAGGGTATCTAATTACTGTCTTTACCTGCTGCTAGTTGGGGCATTTGTATTGACCATTCTTTTGTAAAAACGAGCTCATTGTAACACCAGACTGACAGTTAGAGAGGGTTACCCCTGGGGACAAGGCTGAATTTGTTCTCTTGGTCTGTTCAAGGCATCTGCCAAGAAAAGTATCTACCCTGCTGTCTGTTCTGGTAGTGAGGGTTGAGTCATGCTGCAGAACATAATCATCAGCTACTCTCTGCTACTACTGCATGGTTTTAAACCAGTGCTAAGAGCTCAATCTGTGTGGTGTCACAGCATGAATGTTTTTGGGTACAGAAGTTGGCTTTAGCAATAGACCTTCAAGATTATTTCCTCCTAGGTCTCTGTGGGGCTGGTATGAACTTCAGTTACTGTTTACCTGTGCTTTGGGAATCTCTGTTTATCTGAAAAAATGAAAATCTTTCTGGTGGTTCCTTGGGGAAGTTTTCCTCACTAATCTCATCTTCAGGTTTGGCACGATCCTTTGAAGCGCCTCTTGGCTAAGCTGCCCCAACCTGTGAGGGAACTGTCTCTGTTCCATCAGTGCTGTCATTTTTAGTCTACACGAAACTGAAGAAACAAACGGGAAAAGCTCCTTGGGCTTCTAAACATTTAAGGGACTATCTAGAGTAGTCCCATAGAATTGGCAGGGTCAGAGTGCAGTGGAAAACAGGCATTCCTGATATACTTATACATGTTCTGTCACAGGTGGATGTTGATGGTGAGTGAAGGTCTCTTGGACTATTTTCAAAAGGAATCAATAACCTTAAGCCTAAATGTGTCCATAATCTAACTGACTCTATTGGAGTATTGTTTCAGTACTTTAAGTGCCTTCTGTATGCAGAACATTAGTTAGAAATTTAAAACTCAGTTTTAAATTAGCACTTCATAAGGTGTTAACATTTGCCCCTTCTAAACAACAGCTTTGAACCTCCAAATAATGCAGGATTAGAGCCTAGATGTATTCTTGTCTTCTCTGTATGTTTGGACTTGAGCCAACTCAACTTTCTAAGCTTCACAAAGTGGCTATATATATATCTATATCTATATATATCTTGCATATATAGTATTTGCATGTATACAAGCTCCCTGCCTTAAAATAACTTTTTGAGGCAAAATCCACCTTGCTGCAGTGTTGTAATTCATCACTCATGTGGGACATAAGTGCCTATAATTGTATCTTTAATGAGACAAGCAGGACAGACTGTGAAAAGCAACTTTTTAGGTGTTGTAAAATCAGATCATGCTCGTGGGCAAATGGTGAGTCTGCTTCCACTGTAGCATAAGGATTGTATTAAGCTGAGTGAGTGATGGCCCTTCTCTTAAAGAGCTCCCTGAGAGAGTCAGAGCTACCACTAACATCAGCAAAACCATCGCTCTGTATGCATATGTCCTTGCACACTTGTGTGCTAAGACGTCTCCTAACATACTTTATACAGAGTCTGTGGAAAAGAAGTCACCACCTGGCTTTTGACTTCCTGGTTTTTCTGTGGCTCCTCAGAAGACAGCTCTGTGACTGTGACCTGGTTAGAAACGTTGCAGCTCGTGGTGAAACTGTGACCATCTGCTTCTCCTTGCTGCAAGTCCAGGGAGTAGGAATGCCCTAGTATCTTCCTTGAGAGTTTGGTTATTTATTATCACCATGGAGCCTACCTGTTGCCAGGGCCTGTTACTACAATAAATAACACCACAGAAGGCTTTCTTGGTATGTCCTGGCATACAGACATCATTGTCCTTGTCCAGGCACCCTGCTCAGAAGCTGAGAGGGAACATGTTTCTTCTGCACAGCTGGGATGTTGGTCTGGGAGCAGCAAATCTGTTCAGGTCATTCAGGGTGTTAGTGAACCTCCTGTGGGAACTCAAGCTATTAAATGAACAAGATACTGTCATGTAAAATACACACATATTTCAGCCTCTGGTTGCATTTGTTAAGTATTCTTCAAAACCATTAGCCATTGGAAAAGATCAGTTCCAAATCTGGAATTCCAAGCAGCAAGGCAAGCTTTTAAATGGGAGAAAATGTCATCAGGAGACAGGGACAGGCTGTAACTAGGGAAAATGTTTTAAGCGTCCTTTGAGATCATTGTACAATTTTTTGATTACTGTTTGAGGCTGTTCACATCCTTAGAACTAGATGTCTGTGGCAGATTTAAAAAAAGAAAAAAGCACCCATGGTTTATACTTTAAAGAGGTTGTTATAAAAGATAGCAGAGAAATGTTAAGTCAGTGCTGTCAGCTGAAGATCATATCTTGGGTCACTTGCGCTGAGATCATCAGCTGTTATAAGAAATAGACATATTTTCCCACAAATATTTACATGAAACAGACTCTTTGTATGAAATAAGGATTCAAAACGCTCAAATAATTGCTAATAACTATGAGGAATTTTTTTTAATTTTTTTTTTTTTTTTAACTTCCTGAGACCCTGGTAACAAATGAATGTCAGCTTGTGACCTTACTCTGTTTCGTAGTGGAAAACTTGTGATTTTTTTTTCTGTATATCAGAAATGGAGATATTTACATGACTAATGCCTCTTAAGTAGTAAAGCCAGTGGACTTTCAGGATCAAATGAACCCCAATACTGAGACAGTGTGACTCCAGCCTCAGAGATCACTCTGGACGGCTGGCTACAGGCAGCCTTATGTGTTCCTCTTGTCTTCAGTCCAAACCCTCAGCTGGTCGGGTTGGAAAGCTGAATAAACTCATTTGCATGGCAGTGAGCCTAAAGTGATCTTCCCTGCCCCAGTGTGCCTTACTTGACTGTGCAAAGCACTGCCCTAAGGTTCTGTAGGGTTTCCAGGTTCTCTCCAGCTTGTGTCTCTACCCAGCTCGGAGCACATGCATGTGGCTGTACCTGCCTGTGCAAGGAACTCTGAAATGTGCATCTGTCAGATCTTGAGAAAAAAATGTCTTCCAAGAAATCTTGTTCTTTTTTCATCCCTGATCAACAGGGACCTGATTCTTGTGTCCAGCTTGAATTCACGCAGAATGCAAGTCAAATAACCTTTTGGTGTGTGGGTGTTTTGTTGTTGTTGCTGTTCTGCTTTTTCTCTCTTTAGCAGATGTTTGCAGGTTGCATGTGATAATGCTGAAATGTGATTGCTGCTTGCAGAACATGATGTACAGGCTCAGCTTCTTGTTTGCATTTCTGGTTAAATGCCTGCTGTGATGGTGCAGTTCTTAAACTAGTTTTTAAGTAAATAATAGGTGAAATTTTAATCCTTTTCAAAAAGGTGATTTTTATTTGCTCCTTCAAACGCAGATAAGGTGATAAAACGGAAACAATGTCAGTTATAAAAGTAAGAAAATTGATTAAATGTAAAATCATAGGCTGTAGCATAACCAAAAACTAGGTAAGCTTTATGATTTATGCTTTACAAATTGATTACTGGCACATAAAAGTCAAGACAAGTGATAGTTTGAAGAAATAAGAGTGCATGGCATATAACAAGTGGCATGAATTTTGCGCCCTCATTCATATTTATGGAAAAGAACTTTCTCAGATCTCAACAGGATTTGTACACTTAGAGCCTGATCTTTTCATATCTGACACACATGATGAAGTTGACATGGTGAATAGTATGGTTTTGAACAATTGGAGCTACAGGCTTTCAAGAGCAGACTGCTCCCATGCTGCTGATGACTGACGACAGAAAAATCTTTCATTTTAGCAGCTTTCCCTTAAAATGTAAAATTAAAAATAAGCAAGTTTCAGTACAGTCAAGGCACCAGGATGTGGGGAAAAAAGTGAAGGTCTCTATATGCCCTGTCTTGTGAGAATGAAAACAAAAGCCAGTCACAGGGATGTGCATGCTGGGGAATAATCAGCACACAATCAGAAAGAGCTGTTTCTATAATTGCTGGTGTTATGTGGAGGAAATTGAAATGTATGTATATTTTAAAATGAGGAGAGTTGCTTTTTTCAAAACTATCAAATCTGAAGCTGTTTGGTGGCTTGCAAGGAAAACTGAACGAGAGGCAGTACATCTTGGTGTCAGCAACCTTATCAGCTGTCTTTGATTTATGCACCTAAATTAATGTGCTACTGCAGAGAGGCAAGAAAATTACTATCCATGGAATGGCATTCCTGATACACAGCAAGGCTTTGCTGGTCCTGCTAAGTGAAAGATTCCCATGTAGTATCACTAGCTTGACATGTATATAGATAAAAAGCACTCTCCTAGTCTTGGAGGCTGGCTGAAGTTATTAACAAGGCAAAGCTTGGCTGATTTGAAGGGGAGAGGCAAATTTCTGGCGTTTTTTAGTCTGACAACAGTCCTGCTGACTTCAAACGATAGAAAGCAACAGGTTGGATTTTTCAGGGACTCTGAGCAGCCATATTTCTCTTTGAAACTAGGACTGAATAGTTAGGTGGCTAAAGAGGAAGTGCCCTGACTACTAGTGAGCACAAGTAGCCATCTGGGGGAGAGTGTGAGGCCAAAGGGACTGAAAAACTGCAGCCCATACTGTGCCTGAAGAGGGAAAAGGGTGCCTGTGCTCTGATGACTCGCTGCAGCCCCAAGGAGGAAGCTGTCCACTAGAGACATGGGTGATGGAGTAGAGGGGAAAAATGCACCCTAGGAAATGGGGGCTGCAGCTGCGATTGAGTCTAGAGGCTGGTGTGGGCAGAAGGCAAAAAAAATGAGCTGGGTTGTGGAATGGGAAGAAGGAAGGGATAGGAAGAGAGATGAGGAGGTGAGCTTGGAGGCATAAGGTGGCTGAAAACCAAAGAGGTTGGACATAGACTGAAACTGAGAATTTTTGCAATTGAAGTCAAAGCCTCTACAGTCCGTACAAGAACTGCTGCACTTCAATGACTGGCTGCTTAGCTAAATCCAAGTGAGATTTCACACACAGGCACACTATATGTTTTTTCTTTCCCTGCAGTTTTCTTCAATTCCCAACTCAAAATCTTACCTGGGTGGTAGTAGATGGATTTGTCAGTATTTTCATCTCTGTTTCTTTCATGTCAGGCCCCAGATGGACTAAACAGCTTCCCGAGCTGGCCTTCAATACGGAGCCTGAGTTTTGACATACGGCTTACTATTTGTAAAACTGGGAAGCGGATGATGGCTAAAGTGCTGGTTGTAGTCAGTGGACTGGCTGTTGGTTGTGCTTTGCTGAACCAGCTCCATGGATGGCTCTTCTCTATGTGTGTTGTATTTCAGTGCTGTATGTGATCCAAATGCTGTACGTAATCTCTCCATGGTGACTGCAATGTATTTGTTTCTATTTAAGGAGAGAAAGAGGTTTGGGTTTTCTGCCAGAATTCCCACTCAGGTAATTACACTTCTGCCTGCAGAAATTCCCCGTAGCTTCAATTGTAGTAGTCGTTCTTCACTCCCACTACTAAAAAGTGCAAACATGGACCTGCTGCTGTGTTGCGGGAACACAGCAGTGGTTGCTCTGCTGAGGCAAGTGAAGTGACCCTGCTAGGCATCCTTTATGGCAGATTTGCCCCTAGTAAAGATTGCTGCATCCAGTCATGCTACTTTGCAGCTCTCATCTTTCTGAGGCTGACTTTGGCATAACAAGTTAGTCTTGCTAGTGATAGTGCTAGATGATAGTGAGACAGCCAGCTGGAAGCCAATGCAAAGATGATTAAGAGCCAAGAGAAAACCATATGGAGAGAGAGAGGGATTTCTCTTCACGGAGTTATAAGTAAAAGTGTTTATGTCTTTGGATCCCACTAGCTGTTTTTTTCCCCTCTTTGCATCAGTTTTATGGGTGGGAAGAGGTTGCAGCTGATTAGCAAATTCTACCAAATCTCTTTAGCTAGAACAAATGTTGTAAACAGTAGATATTTCAGGCAGCTCTGTCAATACTAAAAATCAACATGCCAACATTGTAATGGTAATAGCACATATGTCATCATTATTATGCTAATGTTAACTACAGTACTATATAGGATACCAACATTATGTAAATAGTATTGTTTTGCAAAATATGAAAAATACTGAATGAAGGGCCTCTTGCCTCAAATTTAAGTGATGTAGAGATTTATTTTTTTCTGAACTTATGACAGCAGAGATAATAAAGTCTAGCTCAGTCTGGAAAACACTTCTGCAGATGCTTAATTACCTTTGAAGTCAAAGTAAACACAGGCCTTGTTCACTCAGAGCCTTATACAGAGATTTAAAACAGAAGATGTCCAATATTAATAACTTAAGACTCATCCTACATAGTGTAGATAGTAAACAGAACCAAGACAATTGAACCAAATTACTGATTCATGGAATTCAGTCTTTCTGTTCACAGAATGCTCACACGCAGATTGTGTTGCTATTGAATGCATTTCTTATTCAGATTTACTAAATGAATGTTATGGTGAGTGTGTGGGTTTAAAGAAAAAAATTTTGTTAACTAATTCTGTATAGATCATATCCTCAAGATTCAAGCTGTTTCACATATGTTATTGTTTCAGTTTCTCTGACTGACTGAATGCTATTCAAGCAAATAGCACTGAAACCCTGCTTGAATTAGTTTTAGGAGTAGGGGTGCTTACACCCTCTCTTTGGGGTTGCAGGTTTCTCATGAGCATGGCATAGTTTAAGGAATGTCTGACAAATAGGAAATGGGAATTTCTGTTAAAACTTGGTGTCTTCCTTCTTCTCCAGTAAGAACAAGTCAATTCTGCCAATTACTAGTAGAGTCAAGTACTGTGCTACTTAGTTGAGAGCAGGGTGTGCCACTATGTTCTCTTACTGTAATGTTCAAAGCAGCTTTTGCATGGTGCTCTCTTGAACAAGGATTCAGGCTGGCTTTTCATAATTTTAGTTGCAATATGGTGAAGTACTAATTGTGTGTGTGTAGGTGGGGGGCACGGGTATCTGATTGTAGGAGAGTTTTTTGAAGGACAGATCTTCATGGTGTTCAGAACCTCTCCATTGTATCCCACCTCTACATCCAATTCTGTGCAGAACATAGCTTGCCTAGGAGATATAAGAGCTTTTTCTTTTCTATCCAACGAGAAAAACTTCATGAAGCTGAAGGATGGTGCTTATCTGAAGTATGTCTTTTGTCTGTATCCCTCTTTGTTCTTTTTTTCCCCTTCCCAAGCAACAGCAAAAACTTCCTGCTCCTTACTTAAGTTGCTCTCTATGAAAGCTTCTCACGTCTATCTTAGGTGCTTTTGCTCTCAGCCCAAACACACCAGCCTTTTCTGTCTTGCTGAAACTGCTTATGAATGTTTTGAGTGTATCTGTTGGTCTCAGTGGGATCCTATTTGAATTAATAGATGTTTTGGTCTTCTGAGAACTTGTATTTCTGCCACTAAAGTGTCTTTGAAGACCTGCACACCAAGTAGATATGAAATAACTCGTAGTGACATTTGTTCGTCCAAAATATTTAATGCAGATGAATCGGATGGTTTGGGAATAGTTCAGAAGTCTCGCATCAGTTTGGGCTGAGTTTGCCTTTTCCTCAGGCCTTTTCAGACCCATACCATTTTACCATACCATACAGTGGAAATTGCCAGGCTTCTCCTCCTAAGCTGTTGACCTAAGCTGAAATACACTTTCCTAAGGGAATAAAGGAACATGGAAATGCAAACCCCTGCACAGGGGCAAACCAAATCCCTATCAGAATAGGGAGCACTCATAGAATCATAGAAAGTTAAGGGTTGGAAGGGACCTTAAAGATCATCTAGCCCCAACCCCCCCTGCCATGGGCAGGGACACCTCCCACTAGACCAGGTTGCCCAAGGCCTTATCCAACCTGGCCTTGAACACTGCCAGGATTGGGGCATCCACAACCTCCCTGGGCAACCTGTTGAAGTGCCTCACCACCCTCACAGTAAAGAATTTCTTTCCAATATCTAACCCAAGTTTCCTCTCTTTCAATTTGTGCCCATTAATCCTTGTCTATCACTACAGTTCCTGACAGAGACCCTCTTTGGCTTCCCTGTAGGCCCTCTTCAGATATTGAAAGGTTGCTATGAGGTTTCCATGCAACCTTCTCTTCTCCAGGCTGAACTGCTCCAACTTTCTCAGCCCATCTTCATAGGGGAGGTGCTTCAGTCCTCTTATCAAATTTGTGGATTTGTTACAACAGTTCCATGTCCTTCTTATGTTGGGGACACCAGAACTGTATACAGTATTCCAGGTGGGGTCTCACCAGAGCGGAGTAGAGGGGCAGAATCCCTTCCCTCCACCTGCTGGCCTCGTTCCTTTTGATGCAGCCCAGGATTCCACTGGCTTTCTGGGCTCTGAGCTCAAATGTTGAGTTTTTCATCAACCATCACCCCAAGACTTTCTCCACAGGGCTGCTCCCAATCACTTCTCCACCCAACTAGTAGAAGTGCCTACAGGTATGTATGGTCAGAAGGATATGCATCAATAAGGATCTCTTGTCAGTATTTCTCCAGCCCTGGGTACAAGCTATGTGAGATGCTGTGCTACCAGAGAAGGAAGTGTGCAGGTACAGATAGTCCCACCTTGAGATTCTGTGCATCACTGGAATAGGACTGTGGTTAGGGGCAAGTTATTCTACAGGGAATGAAATAGGCCTGTGATCCCATGCACTTCTAGTTGGGGGCAGACTGGGAGGTCTAGAGGTCCTTCTGTGGTACAGGACAGCTCTGCCTCTGGAAAAGTGCTGTCCCAAGAGCACCATCTGGCTCTGAAGTGACCCAGGATAGTGGACAGCACTCAAGCCTGGGTGAACTGCTGTCCTTGCTTGTTCCTGCCAGCAGTTTGGGCTTTGTGGAAGGGCTCAGGAGAAATGCCATTGTCTGGAATCTACATATCTGGCAGAAATACAAGGGGAGACTGTCTGACTTGACTGCAGCTTTCCTATACTAGGAGTGAAGGAGATTTGTGAAGTTAATTAGACTCCAGATCTGAACTTTCCTCATGGGTGTTGGAAACTGGCATTCTCCTTTCAGCTTATATGTATATAGAGCTGCTACACATTGAACTTGGGATGCTCCTGGAATGAGAAACAGAGTGTATGACATATCTATCTGCTTTCCAGGGACTGCCTTGTCAGAGTCTGTGATTCAGCTCTTTGCCTTATGGATTAGCTTGGAGCATTCATGTACTTTTAAAATTTCTTTTAAAACAGTTTGCCGAGATGAAGTCTGTGTGGTTAATTAGATCTCTGCCACTGCTCACAGAATGCTGTCTCTGCTGAGCAAAGCTCTTCAAACACCTTTTTCCTCAATTTGAACAGGCAAAGCACTGAGCTCTCACGCTTCCTTGGCAGGCAGAAGGGGTGATGTAAGGAGCTACTTGTTCCTGGTGGCATTTCTGTGCTGCTGGGAGAGTGACTGTGCAATGAGGTGGAGGAGCCAGCACTCATTTCCTGGGTCTGGTAGGAGCATAGGGCTTACTGCGTTGCCAAATGCAGTCCATCCTTACTGGGAGCAACACATCACAGATGTACCTTTTGCACAGTGATCAAATACCATTTTAGCAGATGTTTAATGCAAAATTGTCAGAGCTTCTAAGGAAGCTGTACCACTGCTTTGTTCCTCTGCTCAGAAACAAATTCCTTCAGATTCCCAGCCTCTTTTATCTGTGACTGGTTCATAGTTCTGTGTATTTTAACCTTTTATGATCCCTTCTTCCATCCCTTGTTTCAGTGCGTCCCTTCCCTTTGTCAGGGAACATTCCTCCAGCTTCTGCCCTCTTCTGAGTGAGGGACCTTCATGCTTTGCCTATCCTTGCCCAGAGCCAGTTCTGTTCAGCAATAGATTGATTTCATTTTTCTGTCTAAATGTGGAATAATCCAGATTTGTAAGTGAAAGCTGAGATCAAAAACTTGTTGTTTGCTTCTATTTAAACAAAATATGTTTTTTTAAAAAATAATCTGAAGAGGTTCCAAAATTTCTCCTGAAACATTTTTCACTCTCTTCTATTTCAAAAAAGATTAGCAGAAACATGGAACTGCTTTGGCAGTTGTGGAGATAAAATTAAAAAAACATGAGCTAAAATGCTACTGCTCAAGCTTGGGGGGGCGGAGGCCGA